GGTCTGGGCCTCCCTTCTGAAGCTGCTGCCCCCGCGACCTGACCCCGGATAGGTGGAAGAAAATGGATGGATGGATGGAGGTGAATCATGAAAACTTTCAGAAAACAACAAGTCGCCATAAATATAACTTTATTCTGAGATGGACAGAAGTATTTACACAAATAACCAGCATTCAAACCTTTTTTAAAAGCTCTSATTTATTAAATCAAACTCTCTAAATATTCTGTTTAATTCTGTGTCTAAGTTGTTTTTTAGTCTAATCTGACTGAGTTCCTCTAGACTGAATTTCTTTTAATGGAAATAAATATAAAGCTCATTTCATTCACCAAAAATAAAAAAAGCCAGATTTTAGCATTAAAATCCCAGATTACTGCAGTTTAATCTGCCTTTTTTTTGCATGCATATTAAAAACATGGTGCAAAGTTGTAAACCAGTGATGAAATATTTAAGAAAGAATCATTCAGACCTCTCATAAAAACAGAAAAACATCCACCGGCGGCTCGTAAGACTTCRCAAATCTTCTTTTAAATCATTTGAGTAAATAGGAATGGTGAAAAACCCACTCTCAGTGCTGACAGCTGTAATCTGTTGCTGTTTTAATCTGAAAGGAACACTTCAAACGCTTCACACTTTACGATCCTCCTCACAGCTCCTCGCTCTCCAGCGTGGCCTCGGGGGGGCTGCTGGCGAACAGGAAGGGGCTGGCGTCCGACGTGGAGAAGGCGGACCGGACGTCGAGCCCCTGGCCCGTCAGAGCCGAGTAGCGGCCGCTCGCTCGCTGGGTCTTCCTCATGGGCGGCGGGACGCTCTGGTGCCACTGCGCTGGAGAGGCAGCAGCACGCCAACGTTACTAAAAACACAAGGAGCCCACCTCTTCACTGACCTGAGTCACACTCAGTTTACCGTAGATGTCTAGTCTGCAGGTGCACGAGGCGACCCCGGCGTCGTTTTTGGCTGCGACCGTGTACCAGCCGGCGTCGTCCTTCATCGTCGGCTGGATAAGGAGACAAACGTATCCGGTGGCATCCTGAKACATGCTGGGGGAAGAAAAGAGTGAACGGTTTATAAGTTGTTTTGAAATCAAACTCCTTCCTCATGTTTTATGCTTTTTTACCTGTTACTTAAGCACTGATTACATGATATAAGTGCTTGCCATATGTCAAAACTCTCGCCGTCATTAAAAAGAATCTATCATCCGTCCAGACGTCTAACTGACCTGATCCGGTCCTTGGTTTTAGAAATGGTCTCGTTGTCTTTCTTCCAGAAGATGACCGGGGGGGGCATGCCCACCACGCGACACTCCAGCCTGACGGGGATTCCCTCAGGAATCCCCATGTTCTGCAGCTTGTCCACAAACTGTGGCGGGTGCTTCATCTCTTTCTCTGAGGCCRAGGAAACACCGGTTCCACAGATATGGAGAGAAATTAGTCTCAAAAAGGTTGGAGCGAGCAGCGTATTAGGGTCATTTTGCAGATTTTAAAAAAAGAAAAAGGAGGAGCAAATCTCCACCAAAAATCTTTGAGATTCATTTCAGAAATTTTCAAAAAACAAAAAATAAAAACCCCAGGACATTCTCTTATGCTGAAAAGTTGTAAATTTGCAAGAAAAAAAATCTCAGATATTAAATTTTTGATATTTAAACAAAATATTTTCTGACATGGTAAAGTCAGAAATTTACAAGAAACGACCTTGTAAATTTATGAGAAAAAAAGTTTTCATGAATGGCTAACATTCATGTCAACCCCTTCGGACGTTTACCTGAATAATGAGCCTCAAAAATCCATAATTTTCGCAAAAAATCCATAATAATTACATGGGGGTGCGCAGGCAAAGCAGCAGGAAGTGAGGATGGGAGAGCTTATTACGAGCAGCAGAGCGGGGTGGAAGATGTTTACTTGATGCTATTTATTGTTTTTTTAACGTTTGAATAAGTTTGAAAGTGAGTTTTTGAAAAAATTTGTAAAACATGAAAAAATCCGTGAGATTGCTCTATATGTCCGTACACCTGCAAAATGACGAAAAATCTGTGTAAATTACGGACAATCCATACAACTTGACATGTATGGGCTAAAGCAGTGGTTCCCAAACTTTTTATCTTCTGACCCACAAAATATCCATGGCAAAAACTTGTGACC